TCGATGTCGATGTCGATGTCGATGTCGATGTCGTCGTCCTCCTCCGCCTCCTCGCCAGCTGCGAAATCGTCTGCGCGTGCGCCTCCACCGACGTCGCCAGCGTTGCAAAACCGGGCCGCCGCCATGGCGGCCTCCGCGCGCTCACCTTCGGCGCAGGCGGTGGCCGCCGCGAGCATCTCCGCCACGTCCTCATCGGCCGGCACGACACGACGAACGGCGCGGCGGGAGCGGCGGACGGTGTTTGCGGCGTCGGGGGATGCGGGTGGGCCGCCCTGCGTGGTGCAGCGCGCCAGGCCGCAGACAACGTGGCCGGCGTTGAGTGGGCGCCGCAGCGCCCCACGGCAGCAGCGACGGTACATCGCCGGCAGCGCCGCTCCTCCTCGCCTGTGCGGTTGTCTTCGCTCCTCTTGTCTCCCGCAGTGGGTCCTCGCACGGAGGGGAGGGGCGGGGGGAGTGCACCTTTACAAGGAAAGAAAAAAAAACTAAACTAAACTGTGAGAAAAACAACGACGCACAGCCGCAGAGAGGCAGGCAAAAACAAAAAGGACGAGAGGAAACAGGGGGGAAAAAAACAACAACAACAACTGCGCGCACGCATAGGCGGTGGAGAAGGCCTTCCAAGTCCGTGCGGCATCGGCACGGCAGCGTCCAGAGAAGAACTGAATACAAAGGAAAAAAGCGCGGGGATAAAGAAATTCATGTGATCAGAAACGCATTAGAAGAGAAGTGTGATATGCTCGCCCGTTAAACTTCTCCGCAACTAGAGGCCCTTGCTGAGCATTTCCTGCGACAGGGACTGCTCTTGCGCCCCGCCGAACCTTCGCGCCAGCTCGGCGGTGTACTCCCACAGACTACGCTGTTGACGCGCCAACTGGAGCGGAGCGTTCAGCACGAGTTCCTGAAAGCGACGCACCATCTCGGCGTCGCAGTGGCGGTGTCCCAAGACGCGAAGCACATCGGCGTCGGTGGACTCCGACGTTAGCTTCGCACTCCGAATGCGTGCGTCGATGATGGCGGCAACCTCTCGCTCCAGCCACGCGGAGAAGGGCTGCGCAGGTGGTGCACCGTGAGGCGCCGTCGCCGCACCGCTCGCTGCTGCGGCGCCTCGCAGGTGCAGCCTCTGCATGACGTTGGCCCCCATAAAGATACTGTAGAGGCCGAGCCGCTGAAAGGTGTCGCGGATCCGCTCCTCCTCCCTTTGCGAGAGAGGCATGCGCATAGTGGTCTGTCGCTCGTAGACGGAGATGAGGTCGTCGTACACCTGCCGCACAGACTTCGTGACCTCGCCCCTGGGGAACGGCTCGCGGTCGCTGCCGCCCGGTGTCGCATCCTCCTCGCCGTCCTCGCCGTCCTCGCCTCGCAGCCCCGCCTCCGCGTTACGCCCGTTCACAAATGCGTTACGGTCCTCCCAGAGCCTGGCGGTGCGAGGGTACTGCGGCTGCTTCCGCATGCCGAGTATGACCGTGTGCTCCAGCACGCGGGAGACGATGGAGGTGGGCACCACCCCCAGCGCCAGCATGGCGATTAGCGGATCCGCAAACGACTCCACCGTCGTCCGCACCCGCACGCCCACGGAGGACGAAGGCGCGTACAGGCGCGAGAGGGCGTACAGCATCTCCACCCACGACAGGATCTGCGACGCACGCAGGTGCCACTTGAATGCGTCACAGAGCTGAAAGATGTGATCCACAAACGGGGCAAGTGTCAGGCGTGCGAGCAGCTCGGGCTTCTGCAGGATTGTGCGCAAGGCGGCCTTGCTCAGGGCGAGCGAGCTGGGGTACGTGACCCCGCGCCGCACAATCGAGTCCACAATGGTCTGCACGAGCTGTGCCGAGTCGCAGCGGGTCTGCCGCACGCAGGTGGTGAGGAGCAGCAGCTGCTCCCTGTCCAGGTACCGCACCATGGGGGAGAGCAGATCCTCCGACAGCCGCGCCAGCGAGACGTGGAAGTCCACCCCCAGCTCACCCGCGATGTTTAGCAGGGAGAGCAGCTCCGCCGGCGCCAAGTCCGCCGCCTGCTTCACGCGCTGCGCCACCTCCCAGCGTGAAAGTGGGGCCTCGCGCGGCTTCTCCTCGATGACGCGGGTTGCCTCCACCTCAAAGACGATGTTTTTAAGCGCTTTGTCCGCAAAGTCAACGATGGCGGGAACATCGCCGCACCACCGCTCCCGCCGCAGCACGCGAAGCACGCGAAACAGTTGTCGGGTGGTCAGCCCAGAAAAGACGTGACCCGCCACCACGAGCGGGGCCGCGGTGGATTTCGCCCCCTCCACCCTCGCGCCATTGCCTTTTCCCACGCGAATGGCGCTGCCGACTTGGTCCCGCAGCGAGCGATTTAGCATCGCCAGCTTGTCGACGGTGCGGCGCCAGAAATTGTGCGGGGCGTGCGTCTTGGCTGAGTTCACGGACCACATGAGTTGTATCAGCGGCTCTGGGTCGTCGATGGTCTTGAGGTCGAGCAGGGCACACTCCACGACAGAGCCCATGAGCGCGATCTGGCCCACAAACAGACGGGGGCAGCGCATGACAAAAGTCCGGGCCTCCACCGGCGTTAACGCGCCCTCCTGCATCAACGCCACTGCCCACGCACGCAGACTTTGCGCCAGAAACGCGTGGTGGCGCCCACCCGCAACGTCCATAAAATAATTTGGCCATCGCGGTCGCAGCAGACGCGCAGCCACGGTGAGTGGAACCTCCCTCTGCTCCACGATACGTGCCGCCTCGTGCAGCAGGACGTCTCGCTGGAGAGGAGAGAGACGGGGTTGCCTCGCACGCATCCTCAGGTACTGCCGCCGCACAGCAACCACTTTGGAGCGGCTAAGTAACGTCATTTCCTCTTCACGGCGAAGGTACGTGCTCAGGGCACGAATGAAGTGTGCAGGGGGCAGCTTGAGCGGCGACGGCGACTCACCAGCCGCCCCGCCCCCATCCTTGGCCGCCGCCGCTGCTGCGAGAACCGCAGGTTGCGCTGCCGCCTCGTTGGCTCGCACGGCCGCGAGTGAGTGATTCTTCTGCAGTTCCCCCACCACCGACGCCAGCAGCTGAAACAGCGGCAGCGAGGGGGGCTGCAAAACAGTTTCCTGCCGCTGCGGCTGCGGTGCGCTCGCCGTGGGGGTCTCTGGGGCTGACGCCGGGTGTGACGCCGGAGACGGCGTCACCGTACAGCAGCGGCGCAGCGCCGACGGCGCAGCAGCAGCGGCAGATCTGCGTGTGACCAGCACGAGTCGCAGCATTCCCCCCTATATTTCCTTACAAATAAATATATCGATGAGTGCGTCTGTCTGTGTGTCTGTGTGTCTGTCTGGCTGTGCTTATCTACTCCCTCTTTACTACTTAGTGTTTGGCCTCTCCAACCCTACACGAGCAACCTGCACGCGGCAGAGAGAGCCAGGGGTGGGAGGGGGGGGGGGGGG